GTTATCCCATTCCCGTTATCCCATTCCCGTTATCCCATTCCCGTTATCCCATTCCCGTTATCCCATTCCCGTTATCCCACATTCCCGTTACCCCACATTCCCGTTATCCCGACATTCCGGTTATCCCGGCAGTACCTGACGATGCTGCGCTCGTGCGAGGGGTACAACGAGATCACGTTCCCGCACTGCTCGTGCGACTCGCGGCGCCGCGGCCACGTCATCTCTGCCATCAGCATCCGCCACTTCAAACTGCACGCCTGCACCGAGGAGGGGCAGCTCGAGGTATTCCCGACATCCCGGCCCAAATTCCCGGGAATCCCCAGCCCACATTCCCGGGAATCCCCAGCCCACATTCCCGGGAATCCCCAGCCCGAATTCCCGGGAATCCCCATCCCGCATTCCCGGGAATCCCCAGCCCACATTCCCGGGAATCCCCAGCCCAAATTCCCGGGAATCCCCAACCCACATTCCCGGGAATCCCCAGCCCGCATTCCCGGGAATCCCCATCCCGCATTCCCGGGAATCCCCAGCCCACATTCCCGGGAATCCCCAGCCCGAATTCCCGGGAATCCCCATCCTGCATTCCCGGGAATCCCCAGCCCACATTCCCGGGAATCCCCAGCCCGAATTCCCAGGAATCCCCAGCCCGCATTCCCGGGAATCCCTAGCCCGAATTCCTGGGAATCCCCATCCTGCATTCCCGGGAATCCCCATCTTGAATTCCCGGGAATCCCCATCCTGCATTCCCGGGAATCCCCAGCCCAAATTCCCGGGAATCCCCATCCTGCATTCCCGGGAATCCCCAGCCCGAATTCCCGGGAATCCCCAGCCCACATTCCCGGGAATCCCCATCCCACATTCCCGGGAATCCCCATCCCGCATTCCCGGGAATCCCCATCCCACATTCCCGGGAATCCCGCGGAGCCCCCAGCGCCTGGAGCTGCGGCTGCGCAAATCCCGGGGTTGTCACAAATCCTGGGATTCTCATAAATTCCTGGGGTTGTCCCAGATCCCAAAATTGTCACAAATCCCTGGCTTGTCAAAGTCTGGGACTGTCAGAAATCCCTGGGATGGTCACAAATCCTGGGATTGTCCCAAATCCTGGGAATGTCCCAAGTCCTGGGATTGTCAAATCCCGGAATTATCCCAAATCCTGGGATTGTCAAATCCCGGAATTGTCCCAAATCCTGGGATTGTCAAATCCCGGAATTGTCCCAAATCCTGGGATTGTCAAATCCCTGGGGTTGTCCCAAATCCTGGGATTGTCCCAAATCCTGGGAATGT